GAAAGTAAGATCTACATTGAGCTTGTGAGTGGTGACATTCGGGTCTATACCCTTTATGTCGCCGGTGGTCCATGCAAACGTTTTGACGTTGCTTTTCAGGAAGTCGATTAATTTCTTTTTCGTTTCGAGAGGTAGCTCTGATCCGATGTTCACTTGTTTCTCGGGGTCAGAGTCGTCGATGCTAACTCGTTCGGTTAGGTTCCTAGGGGGACCTCGAATATTCTGTTGCATCTCTCGACCTTCCTGGATCTGTAATTGTTATTGGGGTGATTCCTTGAGGATTCCGAATCCTCCCAAGTAACAGATCCTGGAGATCTTCTGGCTACCTCGTACGGTGGTTATTCCGTTAGGTGTTGGAAATTTCACGCATTGGTGATAAGTGGAGGCTACTGCCTTCATCTTATGGATCCAGGGTCTTCCTAGGATCGCATGAAATGGAGAGGGCTTATCGATGACCACAAAATTGGTCATTTTCATGATTCCTCCAGCTATGACCGGGAGCTTGATGGTTCCCAAGGAGGTAACTGTTTCCCCGGAGAAGCCTACAAGGTTAGCTTTCTGACCAATAATTTCATAGTCATCTATTTCCATCCCTTTCAGGGCGTTATAGAAGATAAGGTCGACCGAGCTTCCGGTGTCAACCATCAGCTTAGGCACCTCGTAACCTGCTATGTTCAGGGTGACGATTAAGGCATCATCGTGAGGTCTGTTGAGATCTGATGTCTCGCTCTCCCAGAAAGAAATCTTAGTGTTGGATTCGGGATTGGGAGGCTTAGATTGAGCATTAGAAACGGCCTTCCGCACATGGCTCTTGATTGAATTAACTGAGTCTTGACATATATCGGAGCCTCCGAGGATATAATCCACTCTCGAGGTGGGGCTCGAATGAGGCGGTGGTTTGCTTAGGAGGGTCTCGATTTGTAGACTCTTCCTTTGGGGAAATTTCCCAAGAATCATGTCAACTCTTTTCTTGGGAGCTGGCGGTGGCGAATCTGTTTCCTTCTCAGATGATCTTTCACGTTTTTGAGAGGTGTCTCTGGGACCTCTTTTCTGGTAAGAAGGTGGTTTTTTGAGTTCCACGTCCTTTAGTTCCCCAACTACGAATTTAGCTGCCAACTGTCGTTGGAGGTCCCAGCATTCCTCGGTTGAATGCCCTTTTCGATCGTGGTAAGAGCAGTGTTTGTTCTCATCGTAGCCTTTTGACCAGGGGGTTTTGCTTGTCGCGGCAACAGGTTTTTCCTGTTGGACTTCCTCGACAGCATAAGAATGTTCTCCCTGGGTCTGATTATTCCGGGAGCTCCCTTTTCTAGAGGATCCTTTTGCTTCTGAGGTTTCACTTTTCGGGTGATTCTGGGATTTATTATGGATTTTATCCAGTGCAGCTGTTTCCTCCTCAAAGGTAATGTATCTCGATGCTTTGTGAAGAGCATCATCGATAGTTGGGGGAGGGTTAAGCGTTAGCTCGGACCAGAATTCTGATTTGTACCAGAGGCCTCTTCTAAGGGCTTCGATGGCAACTTGATCGTTGGGGTTCGAGAGCTTAGTTCTGACTGCTCTGAATTTCTCGATGTAGATTCGTAACGAATCTCCCATTCCTTGCCTGATTTTCCAGAGGTCAGCCTCGGAAGCTTGCTTGAGGATATGGGTTGAGTATTGTTTCATGAAGGCGTTGGTGAGCTGGTTGAAGTTATCTATTGAGTTTGGCTCGAGGCTCGAAAACCATTCGAGAGCTGTTCCGACCAGGTTCTCAGCAAATGTTCAGCAATAACCTGCTTCGCATTCTTCTCTTGTGAAGTGAGCTTTCACTATAGCTAAGCGGAAGGCTCTCAAATGAGCCTTAGGGTCTGAGGTCCCGTCATATTCGGGGATCCTAATTTTTGGGTATCTCTTATGTAAGAGCTAGCGATTTTGTTTGTGAATGGGGTTCCACAGGTTTCCTCAATCAAGCTCTCGATTTTGGGAGCTGAGCTCGTTGCTTTGTGTACTTGAGCATTCAACTTTTGGAGAGCTGCGTGAGTTTGCTCCATGTATCGGCGAATAGCCTCAGGTCCTTCTAGGGGAAGGACGGTTGGGTCGTCGTGATGAATCTGATGAGGAGATTCTTGATGGAATTGAGCGTCGTCGTTCTCCCAAGCGTTAGGTGGGCTAAATCGCTCGCTAGCTCTAGGGCCACCTTGAGGGACGCGACCAGGGGGGTGAGCTGTAGGATCAGCTTCCGTCCTCGGGTGGCTGTCTCGAGTAGGGATCGTGCTCCCATTTTGGTAAGCTGAAGCCGGTGCTCTTCCCCTAGGAGGGAAAGACATTCCTTCTCCGGACCTAAGAATAGGTGGCGGAGGTGGTAATCGTGTGCTCTGTTCGTGAACCCTATTGGGTGCAGAGCTTGTCGTCGCTACATTACTTCCCATAGCGCTAGTTAACGGTGGACTGAATACTGGGGTTGTCCCAGTATGAGGTGTCCGGAGAACAGGCTCTTGCCCATCACGAGCAGTGCTGTTTGGGGAAAAATCCAGGCGTCCGCGAGGGAAGGTAAATTCGGTCAGTCGGTCTCGGAAGGTGACTCCCGATCCTTGGCGTTGCGACAGATGAGTCGTCTCGGTTAGAGATCTAGTCACTTCCTCGAACCGTTGATGTCGGGCAGTTAGCTGCTGCAACGTGCGCTCGTTATCCTGAGCTCTTTCTACCAATTTCACCATCATTCGACGCATCTCGGATAGCTGAGCTTCCGAATGATTCGGAGCGGGTTGACGCTGAGGGTTTTCGGGGTGTGTAACCCCCGAGTTGTTCCCACTGGAAGATCTTGGGTTGGTTATTCCAGTTTGGTTCGATTGAGCATTAGCCGGAGGCTGTTGCTCGGATCGGTGATCAGCGGATTGAGGTTCTGGATTCTGGGGATCCGGGTCTCTCCTGTTCGGTGAGCCGTCGATCTGGATCACGGGATCAGGAATGGATGGGCTCGTTGCCTGGTTGGATGGATCCATTCTCAAGTTACGGAGTGAAGGATTCAATTATCTCTTCCCCACAGACGGCGCCAAAATGTAAGGGGTAAAACTCACTCTCTAGTTTAGGTTAGGTTTAGATTGGGGAAAAGACAATCGTGGGCTAAATCCTGTTAGAACTTAAAGAATGAATAAGATTGTATTTAATGAATAAGGGTTACAAAGATGATTGAAACGAATACAAAGAAGTCACTTGGACCATTTTGAATGATAATGTATGTGAAAATATGTCAAAAAGCGTGAATCCTCTTCTCTTCATTTCTTCCTCCTTTAAATAGTCTCAGGTCACGTTTAACCTCTCCTGATTAGTCTCTGAGATCGCCTCCGTAAACTGAGGGATTTGCAACAGCTTCCTTTTGACCGAATCATACGCCTCTATCTTCGTATCTTAGGCTGTTTTATTAGGTTCCTGCGAGAGAAGCCGGATCTCTTTCTCGTGACCTCTTTCTCGTGACCTCTTTCTCGTGACTTCTTTTATCGAAATCCTTGGAAGTAGCCTCCGTCCTTAGGTGAGCTCCATTCTCCTTTGAAATGATAATTCACGCGTGGCCCATTATTAGGTTTAATTTGATTGATCCGCTAATTTCAGTTAACGGGCCATATTTGGGCCCAACACATACGAAGGACGGAAAACCCTAGAGAAAATCACTACTCTCATCGACCTCACTCCTTAACATTTAGTTCACTTGTAACTTTGATCTTTTTTTGTTGTTATCGATCTTGTTTACTACTTTGTACTAAATCTCATATTCAGTAAAGTCCATTTTTTTCAACCGAATTCTGATTTTATCGTTGTGTTCTAAGAGCATCGTTGTCCACATCACTTGTCTTTCTCAGATTAAACTCTTGATCACTACAAAATATTTAGTGTGGATTTTAAGATTTATAGTTGATATGATTGTTCATTTTGTGTTGATAACATAAAATTAAACATAAGGATGGTGGATACACAAATTGTTATCAAATTTTTTATTATAAAAATTATTAATTATTATATATATTTTAATTAAATTAGGTTATCCCATAATTTTTACTTTTATTTAAAATAATGAATCAACGTATTTCTCTTGGCAATTTGAGAAGTATTCTAATGATAATGTGTTATACCTAAAATGTTGTAATAATTCTATTTTAATGTATAGGGGATTACAAAATAGTATGAGTTAGTCTAGTAACAAGTAGAATGATAAGTAATTTCTCGAGATATAAATGTTCTCAAATACCCTTTCCGTACATCTTAAAGCTGAAAATAAGAGAAGTGTTTGGTGGTTTTCAAATCCTCAAAATAAATAAACAATCGAAGAAAGACGAGAAATATGGCATCATATATAGGGAAAGCGTCAAATAGAGAGGATAATAAAGAAGAAAAAGAAGAATAACCGTCTGGAACAAGGATCCATTCAAGAAATATGACTTTCTAGTGCCGACCCTTTATGGTGAAAGAGAACAAAAGAAGAGAAGAATTTGAGTGATGGCCGACCTAAAAGTTAGCTGGAAATTGGAACATAGCCTCATGATGACACATAAAGCTCTTCAGAAGCTAAAAAGTATAGTATACGAGTGAGAAATTTAGATCCTTCAAGAAAGTTTTGTATAGAGTATCTCATTCAAGGATAAAAGTCATGATGCTTTTATATTTGTTGGGCAAGGATCTTTGGGAGACTCAAATTCGGTACGAAACACTCGAGTGCTTTTTACATATTAAGGTGGTCATGTGAAAAGTTCAGATCAACGCTATGAATGATAATTTCAGTGTGTTTTTGTGTTGTGGTTTATGTTTGCCATATATCTTGTTGTACTAACTGTTTGGTTTTATCAATGAAATTCATTAGACAAAGAAACAAAGGCAACATTTTTTGCTGTCTTCAGTCTCAAAAGCTGACATGTCGGCAACTTCTTTTAGACCCATACTTTCGGTTAACATTTTTGAACCGTTTTTCTTCTTTTGAGTGAGCCTTTTGAACCAAATGAGAAAAGAAAAGAGAAAGTGAATCAACATCGGAGTTTTCACTTGTCATTATGGTACACTAAATGCAGAAACTAATTCCATACCAAACCAAGCTAAAGAAGCCTGATTCGGTGTTCAAATTTGTGGCCAAAGTACCAAAACAGGAAACATAACTGAAACAAAAACAAACAAATAAGCTCAAAAGTTTTCACTGTGTTCTTCCTCCATAAATCGTTATTGCTATAAGAGTTTTGGGTTCATTGGTAAAATCTATCTCAACAGACAAAATAAACGTCAAAAGAATAACTTACTACGTACTTCCGGCTCCTGAAGTTTCTATCTCACATAGGACTAACGATTTCTATATCCTTCAGGCACCATAAGTCGCAGAGTCTATAACAAACTTGCCAACATTATTGTTAAGTTAGAAGCTCCCTTGTTGATTTTCAAGAGTTAAAAATGTGGTGATAATACCATCCTTTTGGATTTACTGAGCATCATCGACCATCTTGGTATCTAGATCTTCTTCCTCCGGGTGTTTGGACTTTGTAGCAGTGGAAGGAGATGTAGTAGTAATGTCCGAACAAGAAGAGTCAACAGACAGATCTTCAACCATTGGATTTTCTTTAACAACAGATGGAGATGAAGTGTTAATGTCTAGACAAGAAGAGTCAACAGCCGGATGTTCTTTCCCATTTGGTTCTTCTTCTTGATGATCAGTGCCAGAATCATGTTCCATGTCAATGGAAGGGTTTGACTCGGAATCTACTGTATCAACCCTTTCGGAAACTTCCCCTTCTCTTTCAGAGACTGTTACTGATGATGACAAAGATGATGACGATGATGATCCTTCTTTGCATTCAGGGTCTTCTGAATGTGAGATGACGCCGTTACACAGCGAGGATACACTCGTGTCCTTTGCTCCCCCCCCAGAACTCTCAACAGAGCCATCTTGGCTAGATTCTGTGTTCAATGTATCTGTTTTCTTCTCATCTTGAACTTCTTCGGGTCTAAGACTTGATGGTCTGGTCTGAACCCTGCACCAACCAACATTAGATATCATAATCTGTTAAAGATCATAATCTGTTAAAGATAATTCTCCTAACACAAGATTCTTTGTTGTCGCATAAGTAACAAAAAAACTCAAAAGTAATAGCCTCTACCTGCTGTAGAGGAGCATGTATGCTCGTTGAGAAAGGACATCTTCTAGTTCAACTTTTTCCACCTGCGAGTATTTTGAGACAGGATTAGAAGACTCGTAATAGGCAAACAGAACAACAAGAGTTGACACAATGATTCCTACCTCAGAATCGTCTATTCTATACCAGTCTCCTCGGAAGTCCTTAACGTAACAAATGTAGTGGCCGAAAAATGAGGCATTCAACATATCTAAATGGACAATCACCGCGTAAAGATTGTATACATCTGATCCTTCTACTCCACCGCTCGTGTAAGGGCCAAGATCAAATGTCTCTGGAAAACTAATTCTTTTGTTCAGTTTACCAAACCTCCCACCCTGTACATAGTTTTGGATTTATTAGACAACCACCATCAGAGGCAAAGAGTGTAAAAGTGAGAGGGCCAGAGCTAAAACCTGGAATCTTTTCAAGGCAATTGTAAGAATATTAGGAGCAGAACGAATTGAAAGGCGCTTACACGCCTTCACATAGTCATTACATCTGGAAAAGAGAGACTAACACTATCAGAAACAGTACATTCACAAGATAAGCAAAACTAAGGCTTTAGAAGGAATATAAAATACCTATCACATTTGTAGAGGTTATCTCCCTGAAGCCATTCTTTCGCACTGAACTGATCGAGACATTCCTCCAACGATGTCGCATCCCCGTGGATCTCAACGGTTAAATCCATCATATTTTCGTATTGGTCAGAAACATTACTGCAAACAGTACACTGGACCTGCAAAAGTTTAATAAAAAACGCAATGAATGGGAGAAATCATTTGACAAAACATTAGTACATCATCGCTTTACTGAACCTGCTACTGAGATTAGGAAACATTACCTGTGACTGAAGGAGACCACCAAATATATGTTGGATAAGTGTTGTTTCTTGGGCACGAGGAGGCACCACTTTTTCTCCACCAAATTCGTCAAGGCAAACAGATTGCATCATGTCAATTACAAACCTAAAACCACATGAATTTTTAAAAGCATTAGCTGACAGATTGACGGAAACTCAACCGACTAACGAGTAACAACTGCTGACCTCATCAACTCATGAGCATCTTCCTGCCTCCCATACCCGAGATTTCCACCAATGTTAGGCAACCGCGAGATAATGTTCATAGGCGAAAAAGGAAATCGGCTCATGTTTGCTCTTTCGAGATGAGTTTCAAATTCACAGAAGAAGCACCAATCATTGCGTCTACCTGTGAAGCAAAACACAGAAGCAAAGTTGAAGGCTTGAAGCAAAACACAGAAAACCCAAATCCTCTGCCATTAAAAAACTTACATTCTCTCTTGTGGCCTCTCTCCTGTAGGTACGCAACGAGAGGGCGTGTCCAAGAAAGGCACTGTAGAACCACATTAGCGAAACAACTGAAAGAGGATTGACATAAGAAAATCAAACTGTAAGTATACCAAAAAGAGTAATTTGCTTTAAAGCTACACTAGAAACAAGATGAACAAAAACCTGTTTCCACAATTGGTGAGCCCACAAGGAGCCAATGTAGGTTTGTCCCAGTTAAAATAGTTAACAAAAGCCTCGTATGGGAAAAGAACCTGCACAAGAATACGAACAGAGTCAAAACAATCAAGAAGAAGGTCCCAAACAGTCTGAGTAAAAAAAAGGCACATTACATCTCCTGGCTTGACGATAGCCTTAGGAGCCAATGCAGTCTTAGACGCAGCAGATCTATTCCCAAACAGAGAAGCTTTGAAATCAAAATCCTCTCTTCTCGCAAGTGACGAGTCAGTACTCTTAAACCCCTTGCATTTTAGTTCATGCCCCGCTTTCCAATCTGACTTCTGACACTCCGCAGAACTATTAACAAATAACACAGATAGAAATACAAAACGAATTAAAAAACTTACTCTCTAAACTTTCAGACAAAAGCAAGATTGTAGAAACATAATAACAGATTGATAATCTAGAGAATGACTTGTAAGGTCAAATACAGTCTCTTTCGGCAAAAAGAAATCTAAATATCTAAACTTTCAGACAAAGCAAGACTGTTCTGTATTAACAAAATAAGTCACGATTAGAAAAGAGTCAGAAGACCATGTCCCAATTCTGTTTCCAGCCCTACATCAAATCCATAAACCCTAACTTGGAGCAAAACTTTCAGACAAAGCAAGACACTGTTCTGTAATAACAAAAAAGTCATGGAAACTACTTTGGTAAAAAAATTAAGTCACGACCAAGTTCCAATTCTATCTCCAGCTACCTCAAAATCAAACCCATAAACCCTAATTTTGAATCAAAAGAAAAGTAGGTGGTGATTACCAGTATTTAACGGATTTGCAGCGAGAGCATCTCTTGGTGGAGAGCTTCCCACAGACGGAGCACTCATCCGTGTCGGGAACCATGGAATCTCGGCGGTGGTCGCTATCGAAACCGCTGGAGCCGCCGACCTCGAAGTACTTAGCCGCCGTACGTTTGACAAAGAAGAGGAGACCGATGGAGAGGAAGAAGAGAGTCAATACAAGCTGAGTGAAGAAAGTGAGATCCCACGTTAATCCAACTTCATGCATCTAACATCGATCTTCTTCTTCTTTCTTTCTTTCTCAGATTCTATTCGGAGATGCCGAGGGAGAATCTCCTCTGCTTTGCTTTTATACTCTCTCTCAAGAAAAATTGGGCCTCTTAAATCTTTGTTATTACAATGACAAAAGGCCTTTCCTTGAAATAAATCTTGATGAACTTTTAAATTTACCTATCCTTTAATAACCAATCATAATACCAAATAGATTAATAATTAAATTATCTTATTATATAAAGTTTATTTTTCAAAGTTACTAATTAATATTATTGCGAGAAATGACGATTATATATTTAAGATTATGACATGTGTTAAATAACAATTTTTCTTTTAAAAACTTAAACCAAAAAAAATAATAATTAATTTTAATATTCAGTAAATCTTAAACATACACTTTAAAAAAGTTAGTTTCCTTTTTTAACCAATTTTTAACAAAAACTGTAAAATTTAAATTTTCCTATAAATAATATTTAATAATAGTATTTTTTTAATTACTAATTAAGATGATTATGAAACATGGAAATTAAATATTTAAGATTATGACATGTGTTAAACAATAGGTTTTATTTAAGAAAAAATCTTAAACCAAAAGAATTTTACAAAAATCTAAAAACTTAACTTTCATTTCTTAAAATTCTTATTCAAAAAACATTTTTTTATATTTACATATAAATAAAGTTTTAGCAATGGTATTTCATTATTTAAAACATTGGTTTAAGATAATTCCAAGTTTGGTTTTTCAAAATTGTTAATTAATATGACTACAACACATGAAAATTATATATTTAATATTATGATGTGTTAAATAACAGTTTTATTTTAAAAAAAAACTTAAAAGAATATAAAAATAATCTAAAAATATAATTTTCCTTTTTAAAGATTCTTAAACAAAGAACGTTTTAATGGTACCATATAAATAAAACTTTAACAATAGCATTTATTTTTTAAAACATGGTCTAATATAATTAACATTAAACATTGTTTTAAGATAAATTTCTATACAAATTAAAATATTTACAAAATATTTTCTTATAAGTATTAATAGTATTTTCCTGTTAAAATATTAAACCAAAGAGAATTGTAATATTTTAGATGAATATAGCCAAACGTGAATACATATAAAGAAGGTAGAAGTGTTGGATATAGAAACTTCTATTTTTAATATTTTTATATAAATAAAATTTTGAGAATAGTATTTATTTTTTAAAATATGGGTTTACGGTAATTACAAACATACTTTATTAAAGTTGCTAATTAATTAGCATGATTCGGACACATTACAATTATATATTTACGATCATGACTTGTATTAAATATCAGTTTTTCATTTAAAAAAAAAACTAACCAAACAAATATAAAAAAATCTAAAAAGTTAATTTAATTTTTTTCAGAACCAAAAGAGATTTTTACTATATTTCTTTTAAATCCTGAGAAAAGATAATATACAATTTAATTAATTAATTAACCATTTTTTTAAGAAGTTGATAATAAACATAATACTAAATTTAGTTTAACTAACAAAAATAAATTATAAAATATGTATAGATATTAAAAATGAATAGCAAAAATTCCACTTTTAAAAAATTATTTAATATTTACTCAAATAATTATTTACTAATAATTTATTTTAAATCCTAATCAAAATAATATTTTTAAAAATTGTGTATAGTAATTTTACTTTTCTAAAATAAAAAAGAAACTATAAAAAGTTTTTTTTTGTAATAATAATTTTCCATTTGTAAATCCTAAACAAAAGAAATTTGTATTATTTTGTGACACATGTCATTATATAAAGCTTGGTTTTCCAAGTTTCTAATTAACATGATCATGGACATATGGAGATTATATATTTAAGATTATGACATATGTTAAATAATAGTTTAAAAAAAAATTTAACAAAAATAATTAAAGTTAGTTTTCATTTATTTTAAAAAAAGACTTAAAGAAAAAACTTTCTTAATATATAAAGCTTGTTTTTTTTTCTTTTTTTTTAAAAAAAAATAAAGCTTGGTTTTCAAATTTTTTTAATTAGCACAATCACGACACATTACATCTATATAAATAAGATTATGACACGTGTTAAATAACAGTCTTTTTAAAGAAAATTTTTGACCAAAATAATTTAAAAGTTAAGTTTCCTTTTTAAAAAAAAAAAAATCTTAATCAAAAAAACTGTAAACATTATATTTCCATATAAATATTTATTATTCAATAATATGTCTTTTTACTCTGTGGGTTTAAGATAGTTATAAAATACTAAACATTATTTGAATATAAATTTGATCACATCTGTAAAATATCTACCAAATATTTCTCTTAAAAGTATTTAATAGTATTTTCTGTTAAAAATATATATTAAATTTAGAAAATTGAAAAAAGAATCAATTTAATAGTTAATTTTACTTTTAAAAAATCTTAAACATAAAATTTAAAAATTTTGTTTTCCTTTTTTAAAAAGTCCTTACAAAACTGTAAAAATTATATTTTCATATAAATAAGTATTTAACAATAGTATTTTTAAACGTCTGTTTAAAATAATAAATACTAAAAATTATTTAATAAGATTTTCATAAAAATAAAATATCAGAAAATATTTTTCTTATAAATATTTAATATCCTTTAAAAATACTAAAAATTATTTAATATGATTATCCTAAAATTTAAAATATTAGAAAAATATTTTTTCTAAATATTTAATATTAATTTTTTGTTTAAAAAATACTAACATCTAAAATTGTAAAAATTCTTCTTATAATTTTATTTTAATTGTAATATTCCTTTATCCAGAATCTTATTTGCAAGTTAAATAAAAAATTGATTTTATTTATAATTACAAAATCTATAATTTTAATGGTAGTAGTCCTTTTTAAGGAACCTTATTTTCAAGTTAAAATAAAATATATGGGTTAAAAATAATTACAAAGTCGGTAAGAATTGGTTTAAGATAAATAATTTCCTTTAAATAACTACACATTTTCTTTTGTATTATTGAACTCTTGAATCAATACAGTGTTATAAAAAAAAGGGAGAATTTCAATTATACCACTTTGGTGGTACCACTTTTCATGTTTACCATCAACAAAGGAACATTTTCAAAAATACACATTTTATTAAAGGATAAAAGACTCTTATATCCTTGTTCTTTATATATATATATATAAAAGAAATATTAAATAAAATATTAACCCTAAACCCTAAAACATCAATTCTAAACTCTAGACCCTAAAAAGTATACCCTAAAACCTAAAAATCAACCCTAAACCCTGAAATATCAATTCTAAACCTTAAATCCTAAATTCTAAACCCTAAAAAGTACACCCTAAACCCTAAAAAATCAACACTAAACCCTAAACTATCAATCCTAAACGCAAAACCCAAAACCCTAAATTCTAATAGTATTTTAACTACTAAAATTATAATGGTAAAGTTGGTTAGTGTAAAATTGAAAAGTGGTATCTTGAAAGTGTTATCTCTGGCAATTTCCCTAAAAAAAAAACTACACATTTGATTTTTCTTATAAATATCTAATAGTGATTTTTCTTATAAACATGAAATTATTAATTAGCTAAAATTTTAGAAAAATAAGCAAAAATTTTAAAAGTAATAATATATGAATGTTGTATTTTACTTATTTTCTATTATTTTAATATCAATAGATTTCTATCTTTTTATTCCCATAATATAACTTTAATTTTTTTTTTGTTATTACAATTATTCGTATTATAATTGTTTGCTAGCGTTTTTTTTATTTTTGTCATATTCTTCATGAATAATCATAAGAAAATTAGGATACTTTCATGTTTAGGTTTTATATGTGTTGGTCATACGAAAATCAAACACATATCTAATATTTTTTTGGTTTTTGGTCATTAAAAATTTGTTATTATTATTATTATTATTATTATTATTATTATTATTATTATTATTATTATTATTATTATTATTATTATTATTATTATTATTATTATTATTATTATTGCCTCCGTGTAACTGATCTTTATATGTATTTACTAAAAAAATCCAATTTCCTACATTATTTTATTAAAATTTCTGAATTTATCTATGCAATATTTTCTTATACTTCATTTTTATTTTAAATTGTTATAATAGATATGTAGCATCAAGAAACAATGAATTCAAAAAATTGTTTAAACTGAACCAGTTTAATAAAAGAATGTCTTTATTGTTACTAAAAAGTGAGAAGCAAAATATTTTGTAAATAATAGATAACGAATAGCAATTTATTTTTATATTTTTCCATTATTAAAAATATTATATTATATATATATATATATCTATAATTATGTAACTAATTTTCTTTAATGCAAAAAAGTATACTTTAGGTTAGATGCATCTTTTTTCTCTTGAGAATGTTATTACTATAAATATGAATCTAAAGTAAAAAGATTATAAAGAAAAATGAGAATCCAATATATATCTATATTGAAATTTGTATATTACAAATGAAGTTACAATAACTTCTTAATGATTATAATTTCAGCTCTATTACAACATACACTAATACAATTTATTATTTATTATAGTTTTGGTCGCCATAAAACTTTAATCAGTAAGTTCTATTAATAAATAGTTATTTAGACAATAATGATTCAATAATATGGTCTTCACAACATATATGTTAGTGGCTATAAGAATCAAAGTAGTATTGAAATGCATAATGTATGAATAGTTTCATTACCTATAGATTACATGATAAAAATGTTGATCCGATGTCCCTTAGTTAAGCAAATAAGATAATTTTCAATTCACCTATAGATTCATTAGTATATTTTCTTTTGAAATAGTGAAATTGTATTATAAAGGTAAAATTGCTTAATTGTATGATTTTGTAATAGAGTTTTTTTTTATTTTTATAGAAATATAGAGTAAGGCTATTTTGTCTCTAAATATAGAGATGTAATTTTATTCACTAAATTTTATTTTAAGGTAGAGAAATTCTATACAGTGCATATACTGTCATCGATTTTCAAT